GTAAACCCTAATTTTTAGGTTAAGTGAAACATGGATTTATGAAGAGACCATAATATCGATTCCTTTTTATTTTTAATTTAATTTATTTTTTTTTTGAGTTGTATTCTTACCAATCTGGTAGCACAACATAAAAAAAAGATTGGAAAAAATTCTGATAGAGGATGGAAAAGAATAAAAACTAAAAATAAAAAACAACATATATTTACAAAAAAAGTGAATATGAAAACTGTTAATTGTAAAAAAAGAATAGTCGTAGGAATGAACAAAATACATAATGATGAACAAAAACAACAAAGGATGGTTAATTCTGAAAGTGCCAATGAATTGCTTATAATTCAGCTGCATATATTTTACCAAGAGTTCACTTTTGTCTATCTAATGCATTCATCCTATTAGAAATCAAATAAACCAATTAAATAGATATTAATGACGCTTTCTAGTTAGCAAAATAATATTTTACCTTTTCTCTTTTTTCAATTCTGCATTCAAATAGATACAAGTTTGATTCAGACAATTGATTTCATTGAGAAGAGAAGACATTTTCCTTGACTGATTTTCAAGATGTGAGACAACTTTACACAAAATATTGTTAGAGAGTCATTATTAAAAATATTAATTCAGAATTAGTAATTACCTTTCTTGAGTAAAACTGATTTACTCATCTTGCAACTTGTATTAAGGAGCTGCTTACGAAGTTCCTCAAAACCATCTTTGATTTCTGCACGTTGTTTTTGCTCTGATTGAATGTGTATTTGACGCTTAAGCTCAGCATATGATATTTTGCTATGATCAAAATAAATCAATTTTTTTCCTTTTTTTAGAAAATAATACAATGTTCTAGCATATTGCATGTATCTGCTTGTGTCATCAGTATTATCTTCAAAGGAGAAATTCTTAAATAGCTTATTATGTGGTGCCTTTTTCACCATTTTTTGACTTTCATATTTTTCTTTGCTGAATTGAAAAAATTCAGGAATGTTCAATTCATCTGTGGGATTGTTACGATTTGCTCAAGATGCTTGCGTGTTGTCAAGAGAAAACATATTTAAATCCACGGTTGACATTTCTAAAGGAGTGGGTAATAGGACACCTAGTGGTGAATGTATAAATTTCAAAAGGTAAAAAAATAAATTAGCTTTGACTTTTAAAAAAGTGTTATAACAGTAATTTGAGCTGAAAGTATGCGAATAAACTTTAAAAAATTCATTATACACTTTCTTTATTATTTTTCTTACTATAGTAGTCAAGCACGTTTTGTTTTCTGGCAAAATAAATAAATAGATGAATATTTTACCTGAGCTTAAATTCACGAGATATTGAATGATTTCTTCAGATGTAAATTCAGAACTTGATGAAAATTGCATGTTCTCAAGATACTTGATGTTAAAACAAAGACTTTTGTATTGTAATGAGTGATAATTGTTAGGAATTACAACCTCTTAGTTATAATTAAAAAAAGTAAAGGGTGTTTTGATTATTCTTTTTTCGATTCTAATTTATCTGATTTTATATTTTTTTATATAATAGATGTTGATTCGAGATAAAAAAATAACTTGTTTTAATTATTATAACTATAAAACAAGTTTAAAAATATATAAAGATATGTAATATAAGGTATAGTATCTGAATAAACTAAAAGCTAACAATACAATTATAACTGAGATTTTATTTTTTATATAGAGAAAAAAACAGGTTGTGATTTTAGGAAATATACCTATCAAATATTATATGATTTTAACATGTTTAACTCTATTGTTCATAAATTAGATCATATTGTCAAAATCTTTTGAACGATCAATGTTAAAAAGACTAACCAGGTGGTCAAAATTTATATTGTACCACATTTTTTAATGTACTACTAGTTAGTTAAACTGGCTGGCTCAATTGAATAGATCATGTTTTTAACCAGGTGGTTAAACTACTTAACATCTATATTCATTTATAAATTGGTTTAATTATATTATAAATATTAAATATATATATGTTGTGCCTCAAACTAACACTTGCAACATATAGTGACTGTTTTTCGAATTGGCTTAAATATGTTATAAATATGCATTAGCATATATATACTATTTTTTAACTAGTATTAAACTCTGCAATATATTCATTATGCAGTTAATGCTATTTATTTAAGAAATATGTTATAGATCTACAGATTTACATTAATGTTAATAAATATTATATTAAAAATTAGTTAACCAAATATTTATATGTATTGCTAATCTAACTTAATCAGTGAGCTGATTTTACTTGATTAGAGACTGGCTAATATAGAAAGTAAACATGATTTGAGATTATTTGTACAAACTGACTGTCAAATTCATACAAACTGACTGTCAGTTTGTATAAATTTGACTATTAGTTTGTATGAACTTGGTATGCAAAACCTATATTATATGCTTGGTTTTATGTATAAAGAATGTGTTTGTTATTATTTAAAGTTTTAATTCAGTAGTCATGTCTAAGAACAATTTCGTAATTGGAGATTCAGAAAGAGAAGTCGTTTCTGTTTTGATTTTAAAGAGTGAATTTTATGATGGTATGATTGAGGTATATAAAACATGGCTTCTTAATAATAAGAGTAATAACAATGAATATTATAAGAGACTTTATCAATTATTCGATGATAAAAAAAATGAAGATGATAAAAAAAAACTTAGTTTGATATATGACATCATGAAGTTGGTACAAGAAAGAGAACTTAAAAGGAGAAGTATTGCAGAAGAATGTATAAAAAATATTAATTCCTTGTGGCAACATTTGGATTCTATCCTATTGAATTAGAAGATCAAAGCATCAAGGTTGGGCCTTCAGAACAAGAGATTGTTTTTAAGAATAAAGATGGAATTTATGATAATATTATTACGGAATATAAAACTTGGTTTTTTCATGAACAAATTAAAACTAAAGAATATTATTCAAGGTTTTTTGAACTTATTAAAGAAAAGAAAAATGAAGATAACTATTCAAAACTTTGCAAGGTAAATGATTTCGAGACAATGGTCAATGAAAGAGAACTTAAAAGGTTAGATATTGCAAAAAAATGTTTAAATAACATTAACAATTTTAAAAAAATTAAAAAGTTTGGCATTTAGAATTTTATTTTCACTTTTCGTATAAAAAATTGTGTAGTTTATAATATGTGAATCATTATGTTATGTTAAAAATTTTGGCTACAAATTTCCTCAATTCTCTGTTCAATGCTTGTATCTACCTAATTTGATTGGTTTGTAATTTATAAATTGACCAATCATCAATTTAATGTGATTAACAAAAATCTAAAGATCATGGGAACACTAAATCATGAATTATATCATTTTGCAAGTGACTTTAACTATTCTGTATAAAATAAAAATAATCATATCAAGCATGCATCAACTCTGAAAATTGCATTGTTTTGTATTTTTTTAGTGTAAACAATATATAAAAAAAGCTAATAAAGATGTTTTAGGGTCTATACTGTATATTTCTTAGTATGATTATGACCCCTAATGCTAATATTAAGTTTTTTAAAAAACAGGTTTAAAAAATATATAAGATCTGCAATATACTATGTTTAGAATAACTGAACATAAAAAATCTTGCTTTATAATATGTTTTTCTCAATAGTAGAATAAGCATATATGCTATTAAAATTATAATATTAATATATAATGCATAAACTTATCAGAGCAGCTTTGCCAAAATTTTAACTTTCTAACTTGTAAAATAACTACAAGTCACAATTCTAAACGAGATGTACGAAAACATTTATGCAAAGTTTATATGACTTTTGGAAGTCTTGTTTTCGTATTTTATACTATTATTAGAGTATTATGTATTTTTTTTTTAAATTGTATAATATGTATATTTGTATTTTTAGCTGAACTCGTATTTTTTGCATTTTTAGTTATTAGCATTTATTCCAGGATTTTCAGTTGAACCTTGGATCAAATACATCTTTTTTTACTATGAAGACATGGTAAATTTCTGTAAAACGAGCTTCATAATTTTTTGTCCCTTGGCAGTACTACATTATTATTCAACAATGAAACATTTGAGGATCTTGCATTGGTTTTAAGAATTGCAATTTTGGTGGGGTATTGGTATTCATTCGTTAACATTACTTGGTTTTTTTTGGTTAGTTCTTGTTGGATTGTTTTATTTATAAGGTATATAGTCTATTTCTCATCAATATTTAAAATGTTAGACTTGTGCACTAAATTAATTATTTTTTTATTTTCAGCCTTAATCAAAACTGAACTTAAAATTCATCACTTTGCTTAGGCGAAGTCTCGTAATTTTATCAGACATGCAACTTGGTTCATATTTATTATCTTTTGTTTTTTTTTTGGCCGGTTTTTTTATTCGAATTACATTGGATGGTTTTGTTTATTAGGTACATTTCTCGCCATCATATTTACAGTTTTGACTTGAGTTTAAAATTAATTATGTTTTATATTCTGTAGGCTTATTTGTTGTAGATCTTAATATTCATCATTTTGCGAAATCAGGATCTATAGTACATGTATTTTATGTGATAATTTTTTTTGCCTATTGTAATTTATTATTAATGTCAATTATTTTATTTGTAAATTGATGTGTGGTTGACAAAAATGGATGGAAACTTAAATAAATTCTATAAAGAATTGGCAAATTAAGTTTGTAGTATCATCGATAGTGCTCATTTGTTCGTTTTGTTCTGAAGATTCTCGATTTTGATTGACTAAGATTGATGATTAGAAGGTCAGACCGAAATCATCAGTTGCCTAAATAAAAAATATTCCTGGGCTAATTTTACCAATGTATGCCAACCAAAATTTTGTCAATCACAGTTGTTGGCCAATCAAAAGCGAGAATCTTTTATGAAAAAATTTAAAAAATTTTATCAGATAGTTGTTGAGATGTCTTTAGTTGATAATCAATTAACTTGCACTCTCTCTTTACATGCATGTTTTGGTTTTTTTTATGATTGTCCTAATATAGTGCATTTAGAGAGGTCTTATAGTACATAAGTTTGACAAAGATTAAACAATATGTTTAGTCAATTAATACATATCACACAACGTGACGAGTTAACATTAATAAGTAACTAAAATTCTTTATTTTTCATATTTACAAATTACATCAGATTATATTTTCAAGTATTAATTATTTATATTTTTCAGTTCAATTTGAAGCCGAGTTTTCTATTTTTAACTCTGCTCAATCGGGGATCTCGTGATATTGTTAAACATGTACTTTATTTGTTCATTAATTTCATTTGTTGTAGTTTATTATTAGTGTTAGTAACGATTTTTAATATTGTAAAATTTGGTACCTTTGTAAACGATGATCACATTGTCTTCGTTTATTCTGTCAAAATCTCTTAATAAAACCATTTGTTTGTTCAACATTATACTATCAATTTTGGTTAGATTTCTGGTTCAAATTACATTAGATGGTTTGTTTATTAGAATATTTAAAAGTTTGATTAAAGTACAGTATTCAGTAGAAGGACTTAGTAGACTTTATTCTTTTGTCAAATAATTAAGTTTACGAATAATGTAATTTGATTGGTTGATTGTCACATGTTGCTAAGATGGCCAATCATAATGTGTTATTCAATTTTATGTGATTAGCCAATTACAAGAAAGTCATCATGCACTAATTTGGCACTGAAGATCAAATTTTACCTAGTGTAGCCTATCGCTATTCTCAAAATTTTCTAATTTTGAAATAAAAAAATTAAAAAGTTTCTGACCAAAAATAATGTAATGCGAGCCAAATTGTTATCTATCAGGACTGTCAATAACAGGAATACATATTTATCAGCCCGTGGACTTCACTATATTGAGTTTTAATTGTAAATCACTGATACTAGTTTGGTTTAAAATATCAATTTATTTATTTGATCTTGGTTAATTTATTAACACTACATTTTAAGAGTTATGAATTTTAATGGTGGGCTTAATTTATTGATTTTTTTGTCAGATCCAAATCGAATTGGAAGATAATGCAAAAGTTAAAAACATACTAATGCTTTTCCTGCATCATTTATAAGGATAAGTGAACTATATATGACAAAATTATTGCATTTACTTTTTGCATAGCAAGCAGGATTTAGAATAAACTCAGTTGTTTCTAGAGTGTCTCGAAATTGAAATGAAAAATAATTGGAAACGATATTGAAATATCTTAAATATGATTTTACTTTACATAAACCTCTCAGATTTAAATAATTTAATCAGCATAATTCATATATCATCATAGAGGTTTAAAATATTTTAAGTAAAATAATTATACATTTAAATTCTGACCAATATATAGAAGTGATGGTAATAAACCTTCTTTGTGTACAAATTGGGTTTTCTTCATTGTTAAATAGAGGTGTAATTACACTTATAGTCATACTTACTTAACTCTAGAGAACCCATATAAACTTCTATTTTACATAAAATCTCAGCAGAGCCTTTCTTCACTGCAATAACTTTGAAAAAATAAAATGTGTTTTCTTTACCGATAATCACTCTGAAAAGCTTGCCTCGATTCTTCTAACATTAATAAAATACAAAAAGTGAATATCTGAATAAATTAAATAAGCAAATAAACAAAATTTACTTTCCTCAAAGTTCCAATGTTCAATTCTAATTAGGGATGTAAACCATATATTTTAGAATCGTATCCGATAATTATTCAACATTGGTGCAAGTAACTGTTAATATTTTATTCGAAAAAAATCCCAAATACTATCAATCATCTATAATAATTACACAAGAAAGTGATTCATTTCTTTTCTTTAATTGGTTGATTTCTTCATATAATATTCTGATTTCTTTGCATAATTCTCTAATTTCTTCAAATAATTCTAAATTCTACATATTTAATAACAAAAAAATATAGTATAT